AACCCGGTCGGGTATGGCATGGGGAGCAGCTGAGCGATCTATAGAGGAGTAGGCACCAACTGCTATGCGATTTTTCAACGTACGATAGTCACTAATGATGTGTCCCGTAAGTTTACAGTATACACAAAAAATTTTCTTTCGGCAATGTTTTTGAACATGGCCTTTCTCCTCACAAAAAAGGCAAGCTACCTCAGAGTTGGACACGCGGCGTTGCTGTTGGTGGAATTGCGGACGATGAGCAGCATACGTGGTGTTCTCGTCAGTTGCGGCAGCCGCGGAGAACACGGCCACACTCGCCCCGGGCCTGATATCCAACTTTTCTTGAGTTCTTAGGCGAGTTTCCTCCTGGACTAAGTGACCAAGGATATGATGCCATCAAACTGCAGATCATCTTGATTGAGAAGGGAAACACGGACTGATTCGAATTCAGGTTTCAGCTTCATGAGAAAGTGGGGCAGGCGAGAGCGAGTACGCTCGGCCGAACTTCTTCTGATATCATAGCGGGGCGGAGTGTAGCCAGCAATAAATCATGTTTTGTCCAAATCTGAATCAACTCATTGTAGAACGAAGCTACATCCATATCGCCTTGCTTCAAAAGGGCAAGTTCATGTTCGATCTCAAACTGGGGGGCAGCGCCGGTGATCGTGTAGGTCGAGGCAAGGTGCGACCACATCTCGGCGGCAGTTGTGAAAAGACGAAGACCAAGAAGAATTGACGGATCAACAAAGCCAAAAATCCATGTCTTGACGCGAGCGTTGTTCATGACCCAACGATCAAGCTCCTGCGCGGAAGCAAGAGGTACAGTAGGTTTCTTTGATGTCCCATCAAGGATCGATAGAAGACCCTTGCCTTCAACAAAAACACGGAATTGAAATTCCCAGACGGCGTAGTTCTTCGGATTGAGACGAATACTGAGATGATTGGAATCGCTGGACGATAGCTCTGATACCATGTTGGACATATCGAAGGTAAATCAAGAACAACGGCAACACAGATTTACGTGGTATCCCTAAATGTTCAGGTCTAGTCCACGGGAGAGCCTTAAGACTCTCCGAGCTACTGATATGATTTCTTAACCATCTGGGAACACAATTACAGAGTATATATATGTCACTTAACCATAGCTAGGGTCGACCAGAAGAAGAAAAGATAGAGGGAAAAATGGACGTGTGCATGGGTTGTACAAAAGGGACGTGTATGGGCTATACAAAACTATACAAATATGTGGGCCAAAGGCCAAACCGATCAGCCTGCTTAACACAATGGCATGAAAACAAGAATTTTTCCCTTTATCACCCGTTGCAAATGGAAGAACAACCTCTTTATGATGTTTGAGAAGCTTTCACTAATCACTACTTTGAAGTTTATCGGCTTAGTGTCATCATTTCTGCCTGAGTTTTGTTGTTGGGTGAATTGCACCACTGCCCAGGCTTTCTTCTAACTCTAAGTGTACTTGTTTTTAATTTTAAGGTATCATTTGCTTGTGGGGATTTGGGTGATGGATTTGGCACCCAAATTTCAAGCATCATGGATTTGAGACAACTCCATTGTTTGCTAAGGGACACAAATTTTTTAGATCCAAATTCGTGGACCCCAAAGATTTGCAAATACCAAATTTTTTTTTGGGATTTGATCATGGAAGGCAAAGTTGTGAGACAAATCAATGATAAAAATTAACCAAACAAATAATGAACTCTTCCAAATCCATAATGCAACAAATCCATCATAAATCCAAAGATTTTTGAAACTCAAAGCCCTCATTTTCAAATCCAACAAGCAAACGAACCCTTTCCTTCCTATTAATAATACTATCTCAGCTTGATATAAAAAATGTCCTTAGAAAACACATAATGTGAGTTAAATAGACACAAAGTAAAGCAATTAAAATATTGAAGCGGGGAGACTATTTAGTTAATAGAGCCCACTCCGCTATTATAGGATTTCATACTTTGGATAATTCATATCTAAATCTGAATTTTTCGATGTTATATATCATGAGCATCACCCAAACTCGTTTGTCTAAGTATCAGACAGGGGTACTATTTTAGCGCCCCGCTTTTTTACCCAATTTCTTTTTAAATAAATGTGCATTCATGGAATCGGAGTTAGATGGACACACTTGGATTTTAAGAATTAAAAGATCAAAATATTAAAGTTGGGGACTAAACTGACATTTTAACCAAGTAAAATTAAATAAATGGTATGTGATGGATGCACATACATGAGTAAAGAGTATTTTGATCAGTTTAGCATGTTAGATCGGTTAGGATGTTACATTAGGATTTTACATTTTTATCAAAGCCTTGTTGGATTATCCCTAGCTCATCCTCTCAAAACCCCTAATATCTACTATTTTCTACCCCAATCTCCCAAAATTATAAATTTTCTTCCGATCAAATCACCTCCAATCAGCTAGCTGGTAGCCACCATCCATCCATCAGTGTGAAAACCATTGCAAAACAAAACAATCCAACCAAGTGTTCATTATTCAACATGCTTATTAGCAGATCAAAGTCAAAACCATCTTTGACAATCATTGGGTTTGTTTGTTTGTTTTTATAGAGAGAACGGTTTGATGCAATGTTCAAATGTATTGAAAGAAAGTGCAAAGCGATCATCCTGGCATTAAAAGGAACTACCTCTCTAATTTCTATGTACGTGTTTTTTTCCAGAATCAAGCATGCATGTTTACTTTGTTGTCCATATATGTTTGTTTATTTATTGTTCATTCCACAAAATATATGGCTGCAGATATTTTATGCTGCGTTACTTGTATATATGGTCGTAAATCGTAATGGGCAGGTGGCAGTTGCATGCAGATCGAAAACGGTACGGTTGAGCTAGCAAATTGGGGGGTCTGAATCAAACCCGCCCGATCGAAAAGGCCCAACCACCATACCCACTCAGCCCCATACTCATCGCATCATCATATTCATATTCATTCATATATACGCTAACGTAACTACGTCCCCCGCACATGAACTCGTGGCGCCTCGTGACTGGTCCTAACCCAATCCCCAACTGCTGGCTACGTGGCGAAACGGGGAATTTGCCATATTGCCTTGGGAACTGGGGAAAAAATTCATTTTCTTCTCTCTTTTTTTTTTTGGGGAACCGTTACGTGGCCGTTGGCAAGCTTTGGCGCGCGCTAGCATGCATCGCTTTCAGCTGCCCAATTACCGGTTTGAGGTGGCAGCCCCAGGCCCGGCCGGTCAATAAAAGCCCCCGTTGACCTTCTGGCTCGCTGGCTGGGTTGAGATTTTCTGCGCAGCCAAAAAAAAAAAAAAAACGATGCGGCTCTGTAAACCATGCCATGTGCATGCATGTTTTCATTTCGCCGCCGAGCGCCCGCCACACACACACCATTGCCTTCCCTTGGTTTTATTTTCCGCAGCGATCGATCGGTCGAGTACGGGAAAAGCATAGATAGAATAGAAAGAAAGAGGCGTGTCGCTAACCTACCCCCTATCCTTTCGATTCAATTCCTGCTCACATTTATTAATTTTATTATTACTGCTGCTATATTATATATATTAATCAGCCTCATCTGTTGTATTCATTTGCAGAAGAATCGAACATCGAAGCTCGTAATTTGAGTGGTTACACTTACTCAGTAAATCCAAACACTTGTTTTGTTTGCCTATAATAAATTACTTTTGGCAACGTAAAATGTGAACATGCATATATTTGCATGTGGCCCACGTGCACTCATGTTGGGTCATGACAATAGTCTAATACGTACAGTCCAACAAACATGCATTTGCCAAGTGTTATATATATAATTTAGCTCGTAAATGCACTTACTTGCTATTTTCTTTTATGAGATATCCTATCATTCATATGAGAGTTATATAAGTCTCGTAATTATAATTTTTTCAACTTAATTGGTTTATGACACATTTTTCGACAGAAACTCCCGGCCTATACAACAAGGCTGCCATGGTAAGGTATAGCTGATGGAGAGAATATATATGCTAGCTGTAGGTGTGTAATCATGTATTCTGTCTGCTGCTGGGTGTACGAAACCAATCAAATTGTCTTTTGAAAGACAATGGATTTTGAATGACAATAATATATATGTCATCATGAAGGTGGTTAATTAATTATAATGACTACTTTACGGGTAAGATTTGGTTTTACCACTCCACTAAACAGATGTGGAGTATCTTTGAAACCAGAAAATGGCATATATATATATATATAGGTACGAACTTAATAGTGTTATTAATTAAGAATCTTGACCATCCAAATCTCTTCCAAGCCCGATCAGTTCAGTACCTAGATTAATTAATTATCATAGTTCTCCACTTTAACAAACTGGCTTTAATTCTGTACTTAATTAAGTTAAGTATACTCATGTTTTGCTTTACAAGTGTCGCAGATTAATTAGGGCCTCCACTACCCATCATGCTTTCTTTACTACAATAGCAAACACTTGTGCGACAAGTACTGGCCTGTACACAATCGCCATAATTGCTATGATCTCCAAAAGTCACTTTTTTCTGATCTTCACCTGGAAACTGGAATCCCATAACTAAAATGTGAGTACTGGAAGGAACGTAATCATAGTTAGTTGCTCATTTACTAACTAAATTAAAGAACATTAATCATCAAAATTAGCGATCCGTACGTACGCGGTAGCTCTTCGTATGAAACGCACAAAGGTGGGCAGAAAGATAAACAAGAAAGGAAAAGGGAGAAGGCTTTAATTTCTTGACCAAGTCAAACCTTCGATTGCTTGCTTTCTTTCATGGGAAGTATTAATAGTCAAACCGGTCAACAATCAATATGAAAACCCAACCCAAACCAAACCCACATATTCCCCATTTCCCCCACTACACACACAAACCTTCTTTCCCTTCTGGATTGAAAAATCTTCCTATACGTAAGAGAGGAAATAATAATAACAATTTCCCCTCATCGTCTCCTTATTACCGGCAACACCCAGTCTCCCGGTTTCCACCCGCAAAAAATCCCAATTACGTCACCTGAATCACCACGTGTCGCTCCCCATTACCCTTCCCTCCCTCCATAAATACCACGCCTCCCCCTTCCCCAACCCTTCCCCAATTTTCTCTCTCAAACAGACAAACAAATCAAAAAATTCAAATTCGATTTCTTCTTCTTCTTCCTCCTCCTGCAAAAAGTAACTCCCACTACTCAATACAAACTTCATGAGGTACGAAAACATACGAGACGGCGCCATGGCACTCCCTACCGACCATCTCCCCAACCGCCGCCTCAAGCTCGGCGCACTCCTCAAATACGACCTCCCCACCGTCCTCCGTTCGGACAACGACGACGAAACCAATCACAACAACAAGAACATCACCAGCAGCAGCCCAACGAATTCCTCCAGCGTCACCAGCACGCCTCGGAACTCCAACAGCAGCGGAACTCCCAGCAGCGACCACGCCTCTTCCTCTCCGCGCACCACCGGCTCGCCGTACGCCGGCGGCCAATTGTTCTCCCCCTGGAACGTCAACAGCGCCCACCACCCGCTGTCTCCGTACATGAAATCCCCCTGGATTATCCCTTCCCCTGCGCTCTTCCCCAACGACGGCACCGGCAGCGGGGACAGCCTCATCGGATCCATCGTCCGCCAGGAGGGACACGTCTACTCCCTCGCCGCTTCGGGGGATCTGCTCTACACCGGATCTGAGAGCAAGAACATACGCGTGTGGAAGAACCGGAAGGAGTTCGCCGGATTCAAATCCAACAGCGGATTGGTGAAGGCAATCATCCTCCACGGCGACAAGATCTTCACCGGACACCAGGACGGCAAGATCCGGGTCTGGAAGGTCTCATCCAGATCCCCCGGCGCGTACCGGCGGATCGGCAGCCTGCCGACTCTAAAAGACTCGCTGAAAAGCTCTGTAAATCCGAAGAACTACGTGGAGGTCCGGCGGAGGAAGAACGTGCTCAAAATCAAGCACTACGACGCCGTTTCGTGTTTGGCCTTGAACGCCGACCTCGGCCTTCTCTACTCCGGATCCTGGGACAAGACGCTCAAAGTGTGGCGAATCGGAAACTACAATCACGACAATAATAACAATACTACGATTAATTCGTCGGATTATAAGTGCGTGGAGTCGATTAACGCACACGACGACGCGATAAACGCGGTGGCGACGGGATTCGACTCGCTGGTGTTCACCGGGTCGGCGGACGGGACGGTGAAGGTGTGGAAGAGGGAGCTGGAAGGGAGAGGCAGCGTCAAGCATTTCCTCGTCCAGACGCTGCTCAACCAGGACAGCGCCGTCACGGCCCTGGCGGTGAGCGACGAATCGGCGGTGGTCTACTGCGGGTCCTCCGACGGGCTGGTCAACTTCTGGGAGGGAGAGAAGCAGCTCTCCCACGGCGGAGCGCTGAGGGGCCACAAATTGGCGGTGCTCTGCCTGGCGACGGCGGGGAGCCTGGTGTTCAGCGGCTCCGCGGACAAGACCATCTGCGTGTGGCGGAGGGAGCTCTCCGGTGGGGACCACGTCTGCCTCTCCGTGTTGACGGGCCACAGTGGGCCCGTCAAGTGCCTGGCCGTTGAGGAGGAGGAGGAGGATGACGCGCGTGATGCGGGTGGTGAATCGGACCAACGCTGGATATTGTACAGCGGGAGCTTGGATCGGTCGGTCAAGATCTGGCGCGTGGATGACCACGCTCCGGAGTGGCGAGAGTACCACCACCACTCGCCGAGGAATAGTTACTACAGTAACAACTGCTACGGTGGTTACGATTACCATTCTCCTTCACCTCCCACGCCAGCTGACAAGAAAAGGCAGTGAAGAAGTAAAAGTAAATTAAAAAAAAAAAAAGGAAAAAGTATAGACGCGCGAGGCACGTGGATGTACCAGGACGTGCCATGTGTGCGGGTTCTCGAATGACGTCGAAGTGAAGGTACAATGACGTTACGGTGGAGCGTGGACCACGCGATTCTTCGACGCAACTCCAGCGTGAAGGGCCGGCCCAAACCCGATTTTTTTAGATGAAAGCAGGCACAGACCAAGGCCCGGAAGGAGAGAGTGGGGCCCGTTGAACCACCCCCATGACTTTATTTTTGGCAACTTTTGGGGTTCGTTTTGCTCTGTGTAACGACTCTCAAGCAATGTGTACAAAGAGTTTTTTTTATTTTTTTGGTTTTTTAATTTCATTTCTTGTTCTTCAATTAAAAGCCACTTTTGGAACAGAAAAGTACTACTTTTTTGTTATATATATGGTTTACCGTACGTGTGAAGACTAGCTAGCAAGAAAGGGTTTGTGGTGTGAAGTGTGTATAGCAAGAAAATGAAACAGGATGGGAAAAAGTGTGTTTTTCATCCAAAGTGTGTTGTCTTTCTTTGTAGTAGGTATTGATCTGTTGAACTTTTAAGTAGGAGTGACTGTAAATATACGCCTTCTTCTCTTAATATCCGAGTGTTGTAGTTGCTTTTCTAGTTCTACATAAAGCTTGTTTCTTTCGGTAGAGTATTGAATATTGATCCATGTGGACAGCGGTGAATCTGAACACATAAAAGCACTGGGCCGAGTTTCATTACAAAATTGAATAGTAAAAAAACATAATGATTATAGTTTTTTTCCAATGTAAATTGTACACGACGGTATTTTAATTTAGTGATGCATCAATAATGGAGGCTACATCCATACCAATAGTATACACTGTTTCAAATAAAATACTTGAGCAATCGGCAAGAAATTCATCGCTCATTTTGTTGAGCAAATCAGTTCTCACATATTTCATTGTTGAAAAAGTTCTCTTCGTAGTAGCTGTTGAAACGAGCAGCATTAACACTAGACAAATCAATCGACTAATCAATTGACATTGTGTGTCAATCCCTGCATCCACCAACTACTCTAGTAAGTTTTCAAGGGAACAAACCTCATATTTCTTTTAGTTTTTTACGTTTTAAACTTTTAGAATTTTAGGTTTCATTGTTTTTTTTTATATGCATAATCTTTTGGGCTAAAATTTAAAGGCTAAATTAAGAGTAGTGATTTGAATATGGTCATCTGAATCATTTTTCTAGTTATACCCAATTTTATTATAAAATCACACTAGGCCGAATGCCTAAAATCGAAAAATTCATAAGGACTATACTAATTACGGATCCAGAGGAGGGCTGGGCCGGGGCCCGGGGTGGCCACCCCCTGGATCCGCCACTGCATGTGGAAGTACAAATGTTTCAAGGGCAGTGTTATGTGCATAGATGAGAGGTTGACCAAAGTTTAGAACAAATATAACAATTTACTCATTCATTTACACCACGTTAAATTTACTCATTCCTGCCATTTAGATCCCACTTTTCACCCTCTTGAATTTACACCCTTTTGTTACCAAACATAGTAGGAGCCCAAGAACTTAGTAATAAGGGGAAAATTTCCATTTGTCGTAGTTTGTTTTTCATCAAAAGTGACTAAGAGGCATGGGTTTCCGTCTGAAAATGCTAATTGGCCATAATCGTGGTCTGAGTCAGTAAAATCACATTAACATCCCAAGTTCCCAACAATTTTTTTTAAGGGTTAAAAAAATTGAACAATAACTAATTGTTAGTCATAACTTTCAAATTAGAGATATGTTATTCTTGCATTATACTAGGTCCATCCATAAAAGATAGTGTTGAAAAAACTGCCATAGAACGAGTAGGAGATGGTTGGAAGAGGTAAGGTTGTGAAACGATCCAAACCATGATCCAAAATCTTCCAATTTGATAACCAGAATCGAACAACCGGTATATTCGTTTTTGTTTAGTCTAGTCCAAATATCGATTAGGTTACATTTATTCATAAAAAAATATCGATTAGGTTACATTTTGTTAAAACAAATGTCAGTTTGGTCTAGTACAATCCAGTACGGACCAACCCTTTACACACCTGTACTTGGATGAGAGAGAAAAGGGTTAAGTTTGATTAGTCCTTAAACTTACTTTATAATATGATTTGACATTACAGATAATAATACCATCTTTAATTCTCATTTTTTCCCCTCATAACTTCATATAAATATGAGAGCATTACAAAGTGACTATATACTTGGTGTATAAAACGCAAAGCACATGACGCAAGACTTCATTTAGAAAAATGTTACCTCATATTCCCTCACAAAGGGATTGGATTAATAAGCTAATCTCAACAAGCACTCACGACTTACTCATCTCCAATAGCTAATTGGGTTACTTACCAATAGTGGCCGAATCTCAATCGTAATCTAAAGGTTGCGACTTGCGAGTCTTAGTTTATGGGAACAAATGAACAATGAAGTAAACCGAAAGCAAGAAGATCGAAGTGAACTAAACCACCTTAAACATTGATTTGACAAGCTCTATAAACGTTGGGGGGATCCCAACAGCCACTTGAGTTGAGTATATAATAAATACAAATATTGGCTTTTTCTGTATATTATATGACAAAAGGTCGATCTCAACATTCGCACGAAGATTTTTTTTTTTTTTGTTAGCAATTAATACTTGCTTTGCCTGAGGAGCAGGCCATTCAGCCGGATCGTACAAAAAAACGAGTGATACTGCAGCAGCAGCAACTGAGTGAACGAATTGGAGCTTCAGAATATTTTGTGTTCCGGCATTGTTATACATCCATATACTCTTGGTGGCCTGCAGAATCTTCCAAAGCTATTTAATTATAATCCGCCGACCGACCATGGAGAATATTCTAAAACGGTTTTACGGGGCAAATAAACCAACCGCAGAAAGAAAACCAAGAGTGGGTGCCGTATCTTGGATCTCCCATTGCCCTGATCCTCACTATCTCCCTCCCGCGTCCCCCCCCCCCCCCCCCCCCCCCCCCCCCCCCCCCCAATAAATTGGATGTTTTATTTATGGCTGAAAGTGACGAGAAGATGCACGGCATGTCTTTTTTCTCTGGTTGATTAATTTGTTAACGGAACGCTCACACATCATTTTGTGCAGCACGTACTGCATATGTTTCCTTTTATTAATAGGGCACAAAGGGGGTGGGGTTCGATCCGGTCATTCATGTTTTTGAATTTTTTTTTTGGCAAAAATAGAAACTGAAAACTGGATCATTTTTTAAACGGATTTAGCAGGAACTAAACCATACAATTTCATTTCCCCACAAGCATTCCTGCAAGGAGAGTGAAAGTAGGAAGGACATTTTGGTCTTCACAATTACTTTTTTTTATTCATTAAAAAGACACATACTGGGATTCGAACAATCACCATTTTAAAGAAAACCAAGGATCATAACCAATCACGCTAAGTACATTTATTGTGACATCAATATGGCAATTCGAACCTGGCCCAAACTCCTCGAATTGAAGTTCAAAGTCACACTCATGAACTCGTTTCCAGACTTAGACAATTTTGGCAGTTTTGCCTGTGTTGAGCAAGCACTTTGATCGACCTGAAAAACAACCTTATGGGCTTCCTTTTGAGTTCAAAAATATGTCAATGGAAACAATAACTCTTCTTCTTCAATACAAGCTTCAAAAATATGTCAATGGAAACAATAACTCTTCTTATTCAATACAAGCCCTTGAAGTCGAATTTTCATTAAGCCAATCACGAGTTGCACACGTCCAAAATTGGCCATCTGAAACTGTAAAAAAGACTTAGCCAAAAATGAGTGTTCTTCAAGGTACGTAGCTTCCCTTCATGATCAATCCGTTCCAGTTGTGTTAACGACCAATTTGAGATCTTATCAGTCCCTCCCCCATAAAAAATCTTTGACCTCAAAGCTTTGGTCTTCTTCTTATTGAAATCCTCACAAAATTCTTCCCAAATCTAGTCGTAGTAAGGCTGCTCGACGTCCAGTTTCTGCAAATCCAAAGTAGTTTTCTTCGGTGAAAATAATTGGGGCTTTTTGATTCAAGCATACCCAGACCAATTCATGGTTTCTAGGAGTTTTGCCATGGTCCCAATTAACTTTCAGACCCAGCCATCCATCTCTATCCATTGGCATTGTTGTCGAATCGACGATTCTTGTTTTCATGCTACTGTCGATTTTCGAATTTTCCAAACCCAGAAACAACTTCATTTCCGGTTTGGGGATTTTCGTTCGATGGATCTCCAGTCATAATTGGTTATCTCTAAAGCTTCGTACAATCCCTCCCGTTGATTCTACACTCGCAATTGGTGTTGATTCAGCCTCAGCTGCCCCAACCCATTCGTGGCTTTTTGCTTCATGTTCGTCCCTTTTCAGAGCAAGTTTTGCTCGAATCAGATTATGGGTTGTGGTTGCAAATCGAACCAATCTAATCCAGGGAAGAGCTTTCTAGGTATATAGAGAATGTATGGGCACCGTTGATGGATTCCGAATCTTCCCCCATTGCTCCACCCAATTGACCATCTCTCCTGCCATGCTTCCTTGTCGCTGGCGAGCAGAGCCTTATCATCTTAGGTTGATTGGAAGGATGGAAGCGTTTTAGCACTATCAACATATAACGATGGGTAGTAAAAATATCCTCCGTCTTCATCCCACTAGTTTTGTCTTTTTCCTTGGCTTAATTTTTGGCCAATTGTTGCTTATCAGCTCGCACCTCTGCTGGCATCATTGTTTTGAGCATGAACTGTTGACCTTGATGCTTCAGTTTGTAGCAATTGGTGCCCTCAAAATGCCATACATGTCGATCAAATTGCCAGGGGCGTCCTAAAAGAATGTGGGTGGCCTGCATTGGAGCAACATCGAAGTCCAATTCTTCCTAGTAATCTCTAATTACGAAAGGAACCCTGCCTCGCTTGGTCACTTTGATCTCCCCGTAATCATTAAGCTAAAGCAAATTGTAGGGCTCTGGGTGCTTTGTTGTACGTTAACCAAGCTTCTTGACGACGTCTTCACTGATAACGTTCGTAAAACTGTCTCCATTGATGATCAGGGAGAGAATCTTGCCGTCAACGACACACCGTGAGTGGAAGAGATTGTCTCCCTGTGCCACAGAGTCGTCAGCTTCAATGGTCAAAGTCCTTTGGTTTATTGTCAGAATTTTGCAAGGTGTTGGAGTCGCCATGATGATCTCCTCATCGACTTCCTCTTCAGTCGATACATCATCATCCTTCCCTTTTCCCTCTTCATCACTGACATACTCTCCATCACGTATGATTAGTGTCTTCAAATTCAGACACTGGTTTGCAAGGCAATTTCTTCATGCTTCGGACGATCTTGCTGGCATTTGTTCGAAGTCTTTCCAGCTTCGTTCCAGTCATCCAATTCCCTGACGTTGTAGTATGAAATGCCTATTTTCCTGTGACATCAATATGGCAATTTGAACCCTGCCCAAACTCCTCGAATTGAAGTTCAAAGTCACCCTCGTGAATTTGTTTCCAACTTAGGCAATTTTGGCAGTTTTGCCTTGGTTGAGCAAGCACTTTGATCAACCTGAAAAACAACCTTCTGGGCTTCCTTTTGAGTTCCAAAATATGTCAATGGAAACAACAACTCTTCTTATTCAATACAAGCTCTTGATGTCGAATTTTCACCAAGCCAATCACGAGTTGCACACGTCCAAAGTTGGCCACCTGAAACTGTAAAAAGGCTTAGCCAAAAATTAGTGTTCTTCAACGTACATAGCTTGCCTTCATGATAAATCAATTCCAACTATGTTAACGGCCAATTTGAGATTATATAAAAACCTGAATTTTGATGTAAAAGTCACATAATCCTCAAAGGAAACATTAAACTCGTCGGCAGCAACAACCCCAAAATATTCGACATCTCTCTATTACACAGTCTTGGCCTCGAATTACCCGATTGGGTTCTTCACTTCCATGGTCGGGTTTTTTCCCTGAAGTAACCCAACTCCAATTATCTTTACTTCTCATCTCACGAACAAGTCGGCCTCCATATTGGTGAAGTTCTTGGTCAAATAAGCTTGAAGTTGACCCTTAAATGCTTTGGCTTGACTTCTAGTGACCGGACCACGTTCCTCTATCACAAGAGTTGGACTTGAGATCGCCTTGGTGTTGATGCCTCATCATCCCCCTCCACTTTAAAAAGATTTTCCCTCAAATCTCAGTCATCTTCAAGGAAAGAAGCTAAGTCACCAACATTTAATGTAGCACTCACAGCATACTCGCTCAGCAAATCAAGATTGTAGGCATTGTCATTGATGAGAGGAATTGAAAGGGACTATCTCCATGAGGCAGCAACTTAGAACGTCGTTGATGGGGAAAATGTTCCTCATGTTCACCTAGACCCAATCTCCTGGCTTGAATCGTTAAGGATGCTGATGCTTGTTCAAGTTCTTCAGAATCTGCTCCGTCCATCTATCTATGTTCAGTCGCGCCCTCTAATGCAAACCTCGAACAAACTATGCTTTCTTCGCGCCATCTAAATTCACACACTCATTGACAGGTAATGAAGTCAAATCCAATGGGGTTAAAGGATAAAATTCATACAAAATCTCAAATGGTGAAACATTAGTGGTAGAATGAACAACCCTATTATATGCAAACTCTACATGAGGTAAACATTGCCCAGTTTACGGTCCCAGTTCACGGCCGTGAAAATCAGGCCACGATCGTGAACACAGCCAAAAACACGCCGCTTCATTTGTTGAGTTCACGGTCCATGGCTTTAGTTCACGGTCTTATGATCGTGAACTTCCTCAGCGTCAGTAACCTCTGAAACTCTTCTAGATGCCCTTTGGTTCGTGGTTTGTGGTTCCAGTTCACAGTCCTGGTGACCGTGACCACGCAGCTCTGACCGTGAACTGCAGCTGATTCCTGGACGCCTGCACTTCATGTTCACGGGGCAATTGTCACGAACTTTAGACTTTTCTTCATGCTCCTTTACAAGGAGACACTTTTTTTTAGCTCTAACAACATTAAGGCTTTGCCTAGCTGTGTTCAACTTGTTTTGAAGGAATTCGAGGATGTCTTCCCCGATGAAGCTCCAAAAGGGTTGTCTCCCATCAAAGGGGTTGAGCATCAAATCGACTTCGTCCCTGGAGCTTTGATTCCAAACAAACCGGCATATCGAACCAATCCGGAGGAAACCAAAGAGCTTCAAAGGCAGATGGATGAGTTGATGGAGAAGGGCCATGTTCGAGAGAGCATGAGTCCTTGTGTTGTACCCATCATCCTCGTATCTAAGAAGGATAAGACTTGGCGTATGTTCGTTGATTGTCGAGCCATCAACAACCTCAGGGTAAATTATCGACATCCTATTACTATAATGGATGATATGTTGAATGAATTGCAAGGATCTAGTGTGTTCTGTAAGATAGACCTTAAATCTGGATACCATCAAATTCGTTTGAAAGAAAGTGATGAATGGAAAATTGCCTTTAAGATGAAACATGGTTTATATGAGTGGTTACATATGCCTTTCGGTTTGACTAACGCACCTAGCACTTTTATGAGATTAATAAATCATGTATTGAGAGCTTTCATTGGAAAATTCATGGTTGTTTATTTTGATGATATTTTTATTTACTCTAAGAACTTAGATGACCACGCGAATCACCTTAGGCCTGTTTTGGAAACTCTTTGAAAAGAGCAATTGTATGGCAATCTCAAGAAATGCATGTTTTGCACTGATAGACTTGTGTTTCTGGGATTTGTGGTGAGTTTGAAGAGAATTGAGGTGGATGAGGAAAAGATTGAGGAAATTAAAGCATGGCCCACCCTAGCTAATGTGCATGATGTTCGAAGCTTTCATGGTCTTGCAGGGTTTTATCGTTAGTTTGTAAAGGATTTCAGCACCATTGCTGCTCGTTTAACCACGAAAATTAAAAAGAACATGACGTTTCAATGGGGTGAAGCTCAATAGAAAGCCTTCAAGCTTTTGAAATATAAACTAACCCATGCTCATTGGTCGATGTTGCCTGAATTTTCTAAGACATTCGAGATCAAAAGTGATGCCTATGATGAAGTCATTGGTGTTGTTTTGATGCACGAGAAGAGCCCAATCGCTTTCTTTACCAAAAATTTCAGTGGGGCTGCCTTGAACTATCCCACGTATGACAAAGAGCTTTATGCTCTTGTTCGAGCTCTAGAAACGTGGCAGCACTACCTCTGGTCTAAGGAGTTCGTTATCCACACTGATCATGAATCCTAGAAGTATTTGAAGGCCTAACATAAGTTGAACAAGCGACATGCTCGATGGGTGGAGTTCATCAAATCCTTCTTATGTGTGATCTTCTACAAGCAAGGTAAGGAGAATGTGGTTGTCGATGCCCTTTCTCACAAGTATGCTTTGATTTCATCTCTTAATGCTCGATTCATTGGGTTTGAGCATATCAAAGAGTTTTATGTTAATGATCCTGATTTTGGTGAGCTTTACACGACTAATGAGCAACATGGGGAGGGAAAATATTATCAAGCTGATGGTTATTTATTTCATGCTAACCAGATTTGTGTGCCTCATGCTTCAGTTTTAATGAGTTACTGGTTAGAGAGGCTCATGGTAGAGGCCTTATGGCTTATTTTGGGGTATCCAAGACTTTGGATTGCCTTCAGGAACATTTCTACTGGCCTCACATGAGAAATGACATGGAGAAGGTGTGTGCGCGGTGAATTAAGTGCCGCCAAGCCAAGTCAAGAGTTCAACCAAACAGGTTATATGTTCCTCTCCCTATTCCTGCTAATCATTGGATTGATATTTCTATGGATTTCGTTCTTGGATTGCCTAAGACTAGATTCTGTGTTTGTTGGGGTTGACCAATTTTCAAAGATGGCGCATTTTATCCCATGTCACAAAAGTGATGATGCATCTAATGTAGCTAAATTGTTCTTTTGAGAAATTGTTAGGTTGCATGGAATGCCTTGTACTTTAGTCTCTGATCGTGATGTCAAGTACTTGAGTTACTTCTGGAAAACTCTATGGAGTAAGCTTGGTAATAATATTTTTGTTTTCTACTACTTGCCACCCTCAAACGGATAGTCAAACTGAAGTAGTTAATAGGACTTTGTCTCAAATGCTTAGGGATGTCATTAAGAGTAATATCAAGTCTTGGGGAACTCTCTTAACCTTGAGGTTTTTCCTAATTTTCCCTAGGTAGGTGACTCAATTGGCTAATGAATCCAGCTTATCAAAGTATCCTAACAAAAAGGAGAATTCCCTCTACCTAGGTCAAATTGGCAAAGTAATGAGAAATGAAGAACACAACCCAACCATCATGAAAATACCTCAAACTTTGCATCAAACACAAACCCACACACAAAGCATTCAATTAATACAATCTATCACATATTTTAAACTAGGGTTCACAACACCCAAGTAAATGGCTATTCCATAGCTAGGCAAAGGAAAACAAGAAAAAGGAGAGAAAGAACCATGAAGAGATGGCAATCTTCTTTACTCCTTGCTTGAATCTCCCTTGAGAGGTAAGAATCTTCACTCCTCTAGTTTAGGGCAAGCCCATTCTCCTTCTTCCTCCTTTGAATGGCCCTTTCTCTCTCTAGAATGGGAAGAGGAAAGCCCAATCTCTCACTAGAAAATCCCCCTTTATTCTGAAAATTAAAACCCTAGAAAAGCTCTCTTTCTTCCTCCTTTAAGCTCTCTATTTATACCCAGTCGCCTAGACTCCCTAGTTTATTGTAGCAATCCTTAATCCATTGATTGAGAGAGCTAAGGTTCCTAGCTTAATTGTTTTCCTTAATCGATTGATTAAGAGAATGAGGTTTCCTTCACTTGTTGCGCCCTCCTACGGTGTATTAACACACCTCCACACATTTGCATTCGATTTGGGGGATCTTGATATGTAGCTAGGGGGAGCAATACCCGGGTGGACTCTTCTCTCATTGGTACAACCTCGATTTACTTTACTTGCTTGTTTTCATTTTTAGTTTTCTTAGTTTTAAACCCAAAAACTAGGCGATTGAAGTAGGGGTACATGGACCGGCCCTGGTTTGACAATTAAAACATACTTGCCCTATCTCAAAGCTCAGTAGCATCTATCGTGTCACCTTAATGGATCCATCCTTGTTCGGACACTATAATGTGTAGGGACGCGGATGCTTGATGGTCTTCAATCCTTGCTTCACCACCATGTGAGTACTAACAACGTTGGTGCAGCTCACTCCATCTAGATCATGGAGCACAACTTCCCATTGACTAAGTAGCGAATGCAGAACATGTTTTCCCGCTGCTCAATCTCTTCTCTTTGTTGCACATTCAGAAGTCGCCGAGCTACATAGGTGTAGTTGCCTTGCACTGGCCTCTCCTAAGCTTCTTCTTCCTTCTCTTCATATTCGGACTAGTACTCACCATTATCTAGTAAGATCATCGCATGTTTGTTTGGCCATTGGTTTGTCGTATGGCCTCGACCTTGGCACCTGTAACACACAATAGAGCTCGAACGTGTGTTAGTAGCTGCCTTCTCTCACGCATTGGTGGCAACTGGCTTGGGCACTGGCTTAGGGTACTCCTTCTTCACAAATGGAGCTCGTGTTGCACTTAAGGAAGCACTTCTGAATGGTGCAATCCTCCTCGCATAGCTTCTCTTCTGCTACTTCTCGACCTTAGTAGCTATCTACACCAAATCCTCAATCTCCATATAATGGTTGATTCGGGTCCAATTGCACACATTTTCCCCCTCGTATCTTGATCGTTTGGCTTTTAGTTTCATCGTACCTCGACATATTTCACGCTAGGTTGTCCTTGTTTTGATACATTTCAGGTCCTAGCATGCGTGGAAGGGTCGAGGACGAGTTTTGGGATGATTGGAGGTCAAAAAGTGCAAAAAGACCGAAGAAAACTCCAAACCGTAACAGTGAAGCGGAGGCGTCCATGAAGCAGCCGTAGTTCATGGTCTCTAAGGCCGTGAACTGGAACCACAAACCATGAACATCGAGGCGTCCAGCGAGGTTCCAGAAGTTATTGACGCCAAGGGAGTTCATGGTCTCTAAGACCGTGAACTTGGAGCACAAATCGTGAACCCAGGAGAGTGAAGCGGTGTGTTTTGGAGATGACACTGAGTTCACGGATGCGTTTAGGTGTTCACGGTCATGAACTGGCCCACGCGGCTGTGAACTGGTCACTTTCGGGAAAATATGAAGACAACAGCGGGGAGAGAGAAAGGAAACCTGGTTTTTCGAGGAGGAACACTTTCTTTCTCTAGGGTTTCAACCCAAAACACCAAAGGGGAGTTCTAGTGAGAGAGGGAGTGATCTTGGAGCTTAATTTAAGGCATCGATCAAGGTTGGAAGCTAGGAATCAAGCCTAGAAGAAGAAGATGAAGATCTAGAGGTTTCTTTGTAATCTCTCCTCTCTCTCTCTCTCTCTCTCTCTTTCTAGAAACTCACCCTCTTCTCTTGCGTTTAAGACCCCTAGTTCTAGATTTGGGTTTAATGTTGATGTATGTGACAAACTCCATGATTTATTGATGACTTTACTTAATTGATGGATGTTTTCATGAATGACATGAGTTGGGTTTCCATTTTCATGTATTGAGCTTTTGACCTAGAAGGGAGGTAATCTCCTTGGAGACCCCCTTTTGGCGTCTTCGAGTCACTCCTATCGTATATTGTTCGGGTAGTCCCGAGGGAGTTGATTCAAACGGTCTCCTAGCATTATACGAAACCCTAGGTTGAATAGAGCACCAACCCATCCACTGATTAGCCTTTCTGGGTCATTCCCGAGGGAGTCCTGCTCCAAACGGTAGAGTATTTGAGTCGATCGAACTAGGAGGTTCTCAATATCGATCCGAAGGTTGGAAATAGGGGGATTTAAACCAAGAAAGCTCCAAACCTTGTAAATAGCTAGGTTAGTGGTTAGTCTAGGGTAATTGACTTAGTTTTATTAATCACTATCCTAGGATTGGCTAGATAACGAACCCTAAACCAGAAGTAGGGTAAGCCTAAATCCCCGTGGTACAATAAATTCTTATTGCTTGCTTGCCCTATGCTTCACCTGATCACTGGTTATACTTGGCCTTCGATCGGGATGTTGTAGTTAGAACGAGTCAATGGTGAATCTCCAGGACCTGCCTGATCTCCCGATTGAGACCATTGAGAAATCTAGCCATTGTTCCTTCTCTATCTTCATTGACATGAGCTCGAATCATCAATGTCTCCATCTCCTTGAAATAATCCTCCATAATCTTCGCTCTGCCTCCACAAGTGAAGAGCTTGATGAAGATCCCATTGGTGGTGAACGGGTATGAATCTTCTCTTCATGGTTGATTTTATTTGATTCCACGTCGTGATGGGCTCTTCTTCGTACAGTCCCCATGCATCACCCCAGCTGGTGCCACCAAACAATGGCATAGGCAGAAAACTCAAGAGCAACAATTGTTACCTTCTTTCGTTCGGAGTAGTCGTGACACTCGAACAAGTACTCCATCTTTCTCTCCCAGTTGAATTAGGCTTCAGGGTCACTCCTCCCTTGGAATGATGGCAATTTCACCTTCAACCCCCTCATATCGTCATCCCTATGCTGGGGATACTCTTCCTCCTCGTAGTACTCCTCATAGTCACGAGGGTTAGGATATCTACATGCTTGAACTGGTGGTCTCCCTCCTCGACCTTTAACACCTCTCCCTCATAAAGTTTGGTGATTATTGGGAGCTAGAGGTCGGCCTCGCCTTCCACCTGGTGGTGGTGGAAGTTTTTCCACCTCCTCCTCCTCATGGTGGAGGTTGATAGCTCGAGTCATTTTGTCGTGGCGAGCATTAATCTAATCCTGTTGGCCTTGCCTTAAGCGGGTAAGGTGTCCTACAAGGGCCTCCATGCCAACTTGGGGAATGCCCTCCACGTTTCGAGCTTCCCGCTTCGTATTGCGAGGTATACGAAGGTTTATTTGGCTAGGGTGATGAGCTAGCATAAAATGTCGTTTCCTCTTGCTGATTCCACGATCAAGAAAGAAGAAGAAGAGAAGTTGGTGTTTGAACACCCAATTCTAGGGTTGTTATTTCTGAACAAAAATGTTGATTACCCTCTAAAAGACTTAGTTCAACCCCTTACATAGGATACAATGGTTTTAGGCCAAAATACCCGACCTCTCTCTATTATACTCGATCAGGTATTTAACAATCGCGGCACCGGGGGGGGGGGGGGGGGGGGGGGGTCTGCTTAGAATACCTGATCTTTGGCCTCCAATTACCCGATTGGGTTCTTCACTTCAATGGCTGGGTTTTTGCTTGAAGCAGCCACAACTCCAATAATCATCACTCTCGTCCTACGAACAAGTCGGCCTCCATATTGGTGAAGTTGTGGACCAAATAAGCTTGAAGTCAGACCCTTGATTGCCTTGGCTTGACTTCTAGTGACCGGACCACGTTCCTCGGACACAAGAGTTGGACTTGAGATCGCATTGGTATTGATGCCCTCATCACTTAAAAGTAATTTATATGACAAAAAATGAATCGAAATATATTCGATTTGATCCAATTTGGTCCAAATAACAATTCATTCCTGTGCGGACCAGATTGTTGCCCACACCTACTTATAGATTTTTTATGGGGATAAATTTAGGGTTAATTCCATTGGAAGCCCAAACTATACTAAAAGTATAATTTGTGTTCTAAACTATTCAATATGAGAAATCTAACACAGACTATGTGCATTTTGTGATATTTGTGTCATAAACTATTCAACTATGACACATCTGGCACTAAACCACATAGATGTTGACTAGATTTTTTGTTTAATACTAACGGTCAATGCCGGTTAACATTATAAAAAAATAGTTCGTGCAAGATTTGTCATATTGAATAGTTTATGACACAAATGACACTTTTTGAATAGTTTGGGCTTCCCATTAGAATTAGCTCTAAATTTTAAGGATAAATTTTTTTAGTGAGTGATATATGATATATAATTGAATTTTTTCAAACAATTCGAGTTAATGAAACCATATGATCTTGACATATATCGAAGTGTTTTTACTTTTTAGCATTTTCAGTGTAAAAATTGGAACCATAATAACCAATGGATATGCTTTTATAATCACCTAGTTTATAAAATCATCTCATTCACCATACTTGTTTCTATATTTTCTATTGGTTAAGTACACACATTAAGAGAACCTCAACTTCCAAACAACAGATGAATGAAATGTGATATAGCACGGGAACAAGCCACTGCTCGCATCCTTCCCGAGTCAAAAAATAAGGATTTAAAGGGAGGATATCCTATAGAGAGCAGCTTTTACTGGTACAAAAATGACGAGCACTTTTGCCATGGAAAAGGTGTAAGTAAAACACGAAGTGGCCATGCATCCATGAACGATTGAGATCGAGATGAGATATTTAATAATGTAAGCGTCTGTCAGTTAGTGAAGAAGCAGCCCTGAAATTGAAAACGATGTATCTGAATCATATGCATGTACCAGGGAACAGTGGGTTTGCAGCGTTACCACAAAATCAAGGCAAAGTTGAGAAACTTCCAAAGGACCGAGCAGAGAGATAGAGAGAGAGAGAGAGCCCTTTAATTTCTTCTGCTGTTTGTTCTCTTCTCTATATAGATATTGTGGCCTTCGATCTCATACAAATCACTTCCAAAAGAGGAGAGGTTGCCTTACTAGTTTGGAAACCTGCGTTGTTCCCTATTTCTTTCTATCAGCCTTGCCTGGATCCGAGGCTACCTGGATAGTGAAGTACTGAACCATCCTCGGAAGCAGTGAACTCAATACCTACTCGTTTGACCAAAGATCGGGGGGATAATTCACACACAGAATAAAAATAAGTCTCTGGATAAGGTTTGCTTCGGATTGGGCTTTTCGGTTCTGCTTTGAATGGGCCTTCTGTGGCCATCTCCACATGTAAGCTTATTATTTTTCATTTTCGGAACTTGGGCGTCCAACTTCGGCTTGTGAAAGTTGAAACCTAGTTCTATCCATTCAAGGGCTTTCTTTTGCTAAGATGGATCGGGTCTATCTATGAATATGCCGCTATTTCTTTGGGCCTCTACGCCTAAACGTTATACTTGGGGTCGTTTGGAAGTTGTAATTTCAAATGGTGTATTGATCTAATTCATGTATTTGTGAGATTAAGTCGTTTTTTTACTTATATAGAACTAGAATACATGCATTTACTTTTTGGAAGCCCCACCACAATCACTCAATATTGAGGGATTTACAATCTCTACTTTTTGTTGAGATTCTTCACAATCACTCAAAACTAACTTTTTACCTTTAGAACAAAAACACAATCTAAACCTCCAAACAAGATATTTGCCTAATACAATACATCAAATGATAATACACTAATTGTCTCAATACATCAATTTGAAGAATCACAACTTCCAAACAAGCCCTTGATGTCTATTTTATGACTGACCTCAAATCCTCCCAATAATATTAGGAGGTTCTCCTCCAAAACCACTCCCATCCTACTTTTCCTGGGCTTTGCGCATAGTACGGAAGGGTTCTTCCATCCTTTACTAAACTCAACCAACAAACCGTTTCATTAAATTAGGTGTGCCGAGTCTGTCACTCTGTGTGTTTGTTGATCTTTGGGCTTCTTGAGATCGACTAAGTGGGACAGAAAGAAGCTGGCGGCAACTGCAAGGGAGAAAAATCTCTCCAGAACCCCTCCCATTCCACTTTTGTTTAAACTCAATTGAATAAAGACCACCTACTACTCTACTTATTTCCTACCCAAATACCCAAATATAATTATTAAAAAATTTGATGAACCCATCTAACCAAGTCTACTCTATCACATATCAAAATACTTATAACTTATAGGCTTACCTATACACTAACCATAAATCCATAATTGAATTTGGGTAATTGACTAATTTAAGACTGAATTTATCACTACCCATAAAAAATTACAAACTCATATCATCTATCTACAAATAGTTCTAACAAAGCATTCAAACTAGCTAAAAAACATGATTTTTATTAAATTCAAGTCAATAAGATTAATAAGAGTGACAATCCGTAGTGAATAGATAAATCCGACAAGAAGACTAAAAAATAAAATAAAAATGAAGCATAAATAAAATTAGTAAAGAGGTTGACGGGTTTTAGTTTACGTTAATATAGTTTTTTCTTAATTTTTTGTGGACATGAAGTCCTAATAGTAAACGGGAAATTCTCATCATCAAACTTATCTGCCCTGTTCCCATTTGCTTTCCCTCCCCTTGTTTGGAAGTTGCGATTGTTAAATAGATGTATTGTTGAGAATGCATGTATAATATTATACATGTATTGTCGAATTTGATGCATTGTAGAATACAACGCTTGGTATGCGTGATTGTGTATGTCGCATCAACTAAAAGATGAGACAAAACAATCTCAACTCAAATATCTCAACAATCACAACTAAAAGTTGACATATAAAAATCACTCAAAATGAGTGATAGTTTCTGTCACATCATAGAAACAATCCATGTATTATTTCTGCTAAAAAACAAAAAAAAAAATGATGCATTGTAAACAATACATGCCTAATGACAATCTCAACAAAACAATCGCAACTTCCAAACGACCCCTTAGAAGTTGTTTGGATATAACTACTCATATTCAAGGTTGTCAACCTGCGAATTGACCCGCCAGTTGACCCATTTTAAATATGACCCGTTGATAAAAATGGGTCACACACATCCGTTAGGTCGACCCACTACAAGGTGAAAGGGTTGGAGGTCACATGTTGTCGTTTTTTCAGTTTGCTTTGCAAAATATCTCTCTTTTCCTATTTTCCTCTTCTCCTAACTCTATCTTTGAACTGTAAGTTGAACATGAATATTAATGTTATATAAGTGTATGGAGATTTTCACAATATGTTGAATCCAAGTACGATATGTTATTTTGTTGGAATGTTATATATTATTACTCATATTTTAGATGAGATTTGATATAATTTATAAATGGTTGAACAATATAATGACTTTTTCTTATATCTGATCCAAGCCGGACTAAAGTGGTCGGCTCATTAACCATCAAATTCACTTGCTCAACCGGGCTAACGGGCTAAAGCGGGTTGACAACCTTGCTCATATCCTATGTAAGTCTACTCTAACAAATATCCAAATACCTATAACTTACAGACTTCATCGATACCCTAACCATAAATTCATAATTAATGTATTTATATGAATTTGGGTAATTGTTGGTCCTGTTCAATTTTATATGTAAATAATCCTATAACTTTTATTAATTATGGGTAGTAGAAGTAAAGTTACAAGATTTCAGGATCTTAAAAGGTCAACAGGAAAAATGAGAGGCCTTGATAGCCATTTTTCTGTTTCATCCCACCTATTGTTAGTGTGGGGAAGCAAGTGTGCACACTCATTTCTCTTTCTTCGCAAAAATGCCAACAAAAATCACACACCTCTTATGTTTTCCTTCGAATTTTCGTACAAACAATATGATTCATCAAGTCCATCCAAATTATGACATGGGCTATTATAGTCTAATAATCAAGCGTAACTCTTATGTAGACATCGAGCTCATTAAAAGGTGCAACAAGTCCATATATATACTATTTTTTTACCCGGCCAATTGGCAGGAGAAGTTCATTTTATTAATTATATTAGTTAACTTATCTATATGTTTGAACTTTTTGGATCTTGTATACATTTTTTGCTCTCGCTTCATAAGTGAATATGTGGTATGCCTATATCGAATATTATTTAATAGTTAGCAACACTCGCTTGTGATGTTTTTATTCTCTGATTATAAATCATGTCGTAAAGGTTTATCACGTCCCATTTAGGA